GACTCCGTGTCACATATTTTACTTCGGCTACGGCCCCAGTGACTCCGTGTCACATATTTTACTTCGGCTACGGCCCCAGTGACTCCGTGTCACATGTTTTACTTCGGCTTCGACCACAGTGACCCAGTCACATGTTTTACTTCGGCTCCGGCCACAGTGACCCAGTCACATGTTGTGACCCAGTCACATGTTTTACTTCGGCTCCGGCCACAGTGACCCAGTCACATGTTTTACTTCGGCTCCGGCCACAGTGACCCAGTGTCACTCATTTTACTTCGGCTCCGGCCACAGTGACCCAGTGTCACTCATTTTACTTCGGCTCCGGCCACAGTGACCCTGTCAGCTCATTTTACTTCGACTACGGCCACAGTGACCTAGTGTTACACGTTTTTCTTCGGCTACGGCCACAGTTACCCCGTGTCACACATTTTACTCCGGCTATGGCCACTTTGACTCCGGTCATTATTTTTACTCTGGTTACACATTTTATCCCTTATGGCTATACATACTTTTGTGGTACTGATTTTCGTTTTTATCTCCATATCTTATCTTAATTACTTTTCTTTCTCATTATGCACTGCCCCTGTTACTTCCACCAACGTCATTCACAAGTGAATGACTTCCGGGGGGGGAATAGTGTAAGGGTAAATCCAGAGCTTCCCGCTAGAATAGCTACACGGAAGTTACGATGGACTTCCTTGTATCTAGATATATCTCAATCTCTCGGTCCCGAAATAACTGCCTGGAGATACATATCACATCCCGGATATTTTGCTAGATACATATCACATCCCGGATATCTTGCTTGGCATCTTGATTGGCATGCCGCGTGGATTCTACATCGGAACATATAAATACCTCTTAAGGGCTACGCCAAAAGGTGATGGAAAAACCAACCCTAAACTCCTTGTTCTCTCGCTTTAAAGGTAGCCCCGATTATTGCTGACTTAAGCATCGGAGTGTCTTCCCCGAGATCCATCTCGGGGCTTTGCAGGTCAATCCGGAGTGCAGATCTGAAGTGAAGAAGGACGTTGGGTTTGGTGCAGTTACAAGAATGGAGAGGAGGGAGAAATGGGAGAAGGTTTG